TCCGCCCCTTCCAGGAGCTGCGCGGAGCCCCGCGGAGGGCAGCGGAGCCCTCCGGGCCGTGCCGAGCATGCAAACGGCCCGTCCGGAGCACAGCTGAGGGCCCCGGACAACAGGCAGCCCGGGTACAACATGCTATAGGCACCGGTATACAGCTCCATAGGCACCCTAAGGCAGTCCGACAACTCTATAGGACCCTCTTCCAGCCACCTGTACATCAGTTGGTGCGCAACGGCCGCCTGAGGGCACAGCTCAACCTCGGCTAGAGAGCAGGCACACAGCCCGCTGCCAGCACCTCGCCATCGATCCCTGGCTTTCGGCAAGTCCACACAAAAAACACCCACAGCCAATGTGCTGCGCTCTCACATAGGAACCATTACAGAAAGCAAGTTTTCACATTCCCTGCAGGTGATATTTTATTCTTCACATAGCCCTACTGTGTCATATCTCAGGGATATGTGGAAGAACACAGCCATACATTAATATTTACACCATAGGCATTGCATAGTAGTTTGGCCCCCGCAGTGCTCCGGCTTATTGGTCTTCTTCAGGCTGCTGCTGTATCACATCCAGCCTAAATGCCTCCATGGTGAGATACAGTTTGCAATTAAAAGCTATTTGCACCTGCACTGATTGCTTCTTTCCCAGGGCAGGGATCTGCCCAGGGAGGAATAACGCATTTGAATCAATATACCGAGCAGTTGGAAGATTTTGCCCTTCAAATCTGTTCAGGGGATTGGTGGACCGTTTCCGTGCCTTTTCCTGGATACTGAAGGGAACAGCGTCCCAGCAGCAGTCTGAGGGCACCTCCACCGGGCAGGGACAGCCAGCCATGACAATAAAAGTGACAAGTTCTCCACTAGTTTCCCCCTTCCACATACACACCCGTGCCTCTCTGCCCAGCACACAGACAAGTTCCTGGGGGCTCCTTCTGAGGGCCGGGGGAGATGCCCCACCTGGAGCTTACAGGCAGTCTCAAAGCCACTAAGGATGAAAGAGTTAAACACTGGCTCGACCCCCACAGGAGGAGTGTGAAAGAAAAGCAGAGCTGCAACAAGGAGGGGGTGAGAAAGTCAGGACTTTGGGA